GCATGCATGTATCTGAAGCCCAGTAGAAGTTCCTGGACCTACAGTATAATTTAAAGGGATATATTTCAGTATTTAAAATATGTATATATATATATACACACACACACACACACATATACATATACACATATACATATATATATAGATATATAGCTTGGAAATACATGAGGTTATTCAGTATTCAAAATGTGTGTGTATATATAAAAAGTGTTTTAAGAGAGAGGATGGTCAACTGATCAAATGTAGATGAAAGATCACACAAGATGAGTTTGGGCAAATTCTAGTAACATGGAGATATCGAGGGCGGAAGCCAGATCACAGAGTTTGATGAGTGAACAAGTGGTGCAGAAGTAGGGAAGGACGGCTATTAATGGTATTAAATGACAGGCATGGAGGAAAAATGGAGTAGGGGAGAGAAGCGTATGTGAGAAGGTCGTGGGTCTTAAAGGCCATGGTAATAATAGTACGTTTTGTCCTCGGTACAATAGGAAATCATTGAATGATTTGAGCAGAACATAATCAGATTTCTACTCTGTAAAAGACCATTCTGGTAGTTATATAAAGAGTAAGTTACAGGTAGGCAAGATGGGAAATGCAAAGTGTTGCAGTAGTACAAGTAAGAGATGATGGCTGCTTGGATAAATTGGCAGCAGAGATAGAAAGAAGTTGGATAATGATAACAATAGCAAAAATTGTAAAGATTAACTGAACACTATGTGTCAGACACAATTCTAAGAGCTTTATATAAATTGCCTAATTTAATTTGCACAGCAATCATATGGGAATTAAGGCATTGAAAAGACAAGTGAGCTCTTATTCTTACACAGTTAGTATAGAGGATCTTGAGTTTGCACCCAGTCTGTCTTATTTATAAGCCAGTGGTCACTGCAACCTATTTATTGGATAGATAGGTGATAAGATCTGGGAATACTGAAAAGAGTTCATGAGAGATTCAGTGATATATATATCTAGAAAAACTGTGATGTTTCTGGTTTGACTAGGCTAGTTTTAGTTGCATGCATGTATCTGAAGCCCAGTAGAAGTTCCTGGACCTACAGTATAATTTAAAGGGATATATTTCAGTATTTAAAATATGTATATATATATATACACACACACACACACACATATACATATACACATATACATATATATATAGATATATAGCTTGGAAATACATGAGGTTATTCAGTATTCAAAATGTGTGTGTATATATAAAAAGTGTTTTAAGAGAGAGGATGGTCAACTGATCAAATGTAGATGAAAGATCACACAAGATGAGTTTGGGCAAATTCTAGTAACATGGAGATATCGAGGGCGGAAGCCAGATCACAGAGTTTGATGAGTGAACAAGTGGTGCAGAAGTAGGGAAGGACGGCTATTAATGGTATTAAATGACAGGCATGGAGGACAGAGTGGGTAATGAGCTTAATATAGTATATATGTATGTTTTAATGTTATCCATGAGCATATTTGCATGTTGGTGGGGAAATCAGATAGAAAGAAAAATATGGAAGATGCAAGAAAGAATGGAGACAGAAGGTAACAAAAGGTCAGATTCAGAAATTATAATAGAGAAGAAAACGAATAAACAGGTTAGAAACTATAGATGCATTTGTTGCCTGTCACCAAGGACCAGCTTTAGAGCCTTCTAGAGGCCAGGTACAGGACTAGGAGGCTGATCAGAGTGACAAAGAAAGGGTGTATGCTTTCAGTCTTTTGGAATTCCTTTGTGCTGGCCATCTCTTCTGTTTGATTTAAATAATGATCTTATTGAATAAACTAAGGTGACTAAGTTTGTTAATTTTGATCATGGTGACTCATAAATAGGGAAAATAATTAATTTCCAGGGCCTGATGGGAAGAAATAAGTCAAACAAGATCTGGATTTTGTCTACTTAGAGATGAGCACTTGAGACCTTTGCTGTTGAACAGAGATCTCTTAATGGTGCCAGAAATATATAAAAGTATTAAATGTCACTCATGTATTATTCATCCAATGATACACTGAATAGTTATTCATTCTACAAGGTGGCATATGATAAGACAAATAAGGTATGCTATTGAGTGGTAAGTTCAGGAGCCAGTTATCACTGTTTTTTCTTTATTTGCTTTGTTTTGTTTTGTTTTTACTGAAGTATAGAGTTTGTGTCCATGAGATGAAAAGTAAATTGGGAGAACTAGAACATGACTGAAAATGTCTTTTGCTCTGGGGAAGCCAGGTGTCAAGATAGTGATGAGGGTGGGGAAAGAATATCGGTGTCCCTTAATCCTCTCCATCCTCCCTATACTGTACCTTCTAGAAATTACTGCTCTGTGCTGGGTACTGTACTAAGGCTAAAGTAAATAAATTAGATTTAAAACCTACTCTCAATGGGTTAACAACAATGACAACAAACATTTTTTGAGGAACTTCTATTATTCACATACTGTTTTAAGTGATCCTTGATATTTAATCCATTTAATCCTTAAAATAACATAGAATTCTTATCCCCTTTTTACAGGTAAAGAAACGAAGGCACAAAGTGGTAAGCCTTGTTCATCATTGCATTCTTAGTGCCAGTCACAGTGTCTGACATCATAATTTCTTAATCAATATTTTTAATGAATACCTGAGTGGCAGCTGAATGATACCAGAGCCCCACTTTGATAGAGTCAAGCTTCCAAATACATAATCAGGTCGCTGTCTCACAGGTCATTTGGTGGAATGACTATAAGACAATGGCTCTCAAACTTTCTGATGCCTGATAATCTCTAGAGGTTCTTACTAAAAATTAGAACTCATTAAATATTGAGAGAAGCCCATGAAGCTGCTTTTATAATAGGTATTCCAAGCATTTTATTCTAAGATGATGTCTGGACAAATTTTGAAAAAAAGAAAATTGCTGTGCACTATGAGTTGGTAGTTACTACACTAGGTGCAAGACTAGTGGATGATGGTTGTGGCTCAGCCCATCAAAGAACGAGAAGGGGAATGGTGACTTCAGTGACAATATAAGGAAATTATCAGCTGCAGTGGAATCTGGCTACCTATTGTCTTCACACATACTTCTGATCTTCTCAACCTTGGTGCCACTGACAGATGGAACTCCATAATCCTGATCTGTTTCCTCATGAGTGTTCCTTTGGGAGACATTACAGTTTGCTTGATGCATACAGTGCACCTCCTTGCCTTTTTCAAAACTCACAGTATGTGTCATCCCTTCTCCCACTACACGTGTGGGCATGCATGTGTGAGTGACGGCACACGTGCACACACACACACACACACACACAGCTGGTTTATTAAATCAAATGAGACAGACTGTCAGGGTCAAGACATGGCTGATATCCAAAATCCTCATTCCTTTTTCAGGTGCTGGAGGGCTTGGATCCCTTTTACACAGTTTACGCAGAACTGTAATAAACTGTGACAGCAAAATAGAGTCAGTTTCCCAGAAGACATATATTATAAAAAATGAAAAATACCAAAGAGCCATAGAAGAAATAAAGAGCCAAATAAAATCCTTGAAAAGAAGGAGTGAAATAAGTTTTAAAATATTTCAATACAAAATTGGCAAAAACCTAGATTTTGGAAAATATAGGAAATTTTCCAGTGTGGAAATTACTTCAGTCCCATATCGTTTATAAGAATAAACAGTAACTACCCAAGGATATATGCCCTTCACATTCCCTTTCAATTTATTTCTCTTAAGTGTTCTCAGCATCTTTCAGTTATAAATGAAAACGAGTAAAATCTTGTTAAGAATTTTTGATGCGTGAACTATCAGCTACTATTGGATAACAATATGCAGTACCATATTCCCATTAATACATGCAAAATCTTACCTAATCTTAGCAAAATGCAGAGTTACTAGAATGTATTTGTTACTCACTACATACTTCCAGTGAATTAATGCCTAGATCACTGGCTAATCAGATCAGTGAATTAGTGTACGTATCCCGTTAAACTGTTAAATAGCTATGGATAGCACATTCTTAATTGAAGCAAAAAAAGAAAAATCACCTAGATTTACACTGACATCAACTTTTAACTAAATGTACTGGCCTCAAAATCTAGTACAATGAAACTTTATTGTTATATAAATTACTTGGTACCAGCTACCTTGACGGACATTCTTTGTGGAAGAGAATAATGCTGCCCAATTAATACATAGCAGGTACAGAAATACAAGGTCAATACTTATTTTCAGAGGAGACTAAAAGATGGCGAATTAATCACAGAAGGGAGAAAAACCCAGCACTGAACCATCTGTTTGCTATTCAGGGAAAGAAAATATCTGTAACTTTGTTACCCCATCAGTTCCTTAAAGTGATTTCAAAAGATAGGGTAGCAACAGTTAGTTACCTTACCAGCACAAACCCTGTTACCGCTGCCTTTGAACTGTTTGCAGGGAGGTATATCCTCTCAAGCAGCTCTGTGGTAAATTACAGTTCACCCCTGAATCTGGTGATTCCACGTGTTTGTGGAGTGATTAATGAGACAGCCAAAGACTCTAACCCCGGGTGGCTTCAGTGGGAAGCAGGAATTTGAAAGGCATACGAGCAGAAGATGGCTGGGCAGAGCCGCCTGCTTCCACCACCACCATTGGCTCCGCTTGTACAGTTGTTCAAGCTGCCAGAGGCTTTCTGGTTTCCATGGCAACTGTTGGGCTCTGTTGCAAACTCAAAGCAGAGCCTCCGAAGTTGGGTACTAAACACTGGAGCTCAAATGTAAAGGCAACTAGGGAGGGAGAAAGAACAGGGATACCCATGTAATAGGTCTACAGCCCCTAGGGCTAAGAGGACGTTTTTAAAAATCGGAGTTCTGTTTGTTTTTGTAAAATGAGGTATTTCTTGCCTGGCATTATTCATGAATATACTTTTCTGGTGCCCAGAGCAAAAGGGAGACTGCAAATCCTCTCACTCAGACAGGCAGCGGAAGGAGGGCGGGGACGCGATCACCAGGAGTGCCCCGAGCCCGCTCTTTCATTCATTCAGTTACAGGCTCGGCATCTCCTGAGAGCTCATTTGTAGAGGGCACGGTGCCAGGTGCTGGGTCTGCGAAGAGAAACGAGACACCGCCCTACGCTCAGAAATTAACAACGACAATTAACAGAAATTAGCAGAACCTTTACGAGTCTGGGGAGAACAGATTAGGCGCTGCCAGCTTCCCACGGGTCTCTCTTGGAAGACAGTCAGAAACCAAACGCGGGAGAGGAGACAGGCAGTGGCGCGCGACAGAGGGTCAGGCAGCAGGGGGGCCGAGGGACGAGGACACCCGGCTTTCCCTAGGGAGGGGATCTGTCAAGGCCACACCAACGTTTCTCCGAGGGTGCGAGGGAAAATAGGTTTGTTTTTCTTTTAGAAAGACAGAGCCCTTTTCCCCACTGGGCTAGAAGTCTAGTAGGAGAGGCGCCGCCTCTTTGGTCCGTGGATTGGCCCAACTCCTCTTGAGATAATTTATGCCAGCCTCTTCTGGGTCTGATTGGCTCCCCCGCCCAGTTCCGCGGGGAGTCGCATCCTACCTGGCTGGGAGGCTGCACTGCCATCCCACACTCTCCATTCCCGTATTCACCGGGCTGCAGCCGAGGTGGGAAAAAAGTCCTGGCTGAGGAATTGAGCGAAAAAAACGCTCCCGATGGGTTCTTGGAAAGCCTTTCTCTTCTCCCCTTTCCTTCTTTGGAGTCAAAGTAGAGGGGTGAGGCTGATGTTCCTGCTGCTGACCCTGCATTTGGGAAACTGGTGAGTAAATTCAAGGATTTTAAACTCTTCTTTGGTATCTACCCTCTTACCCCTCATTTCTCTTTTTAAAATCATTATAAGTTAGTAATTTGCATTTTCCCGGGCACACCTGAGATATTTTACCATCATTTTATTTTCTGATTAGACCTGCCAATTTTCAGATAGAATGAAAATAGCCTACGTGTGAAGCATAGAGGTTAGTTGACTCGTTCTTTACTTGAAGCACAGTCTAAACTAGTTCAGTCTACAGGGTTCAGTTACTGGCAGTGGAGAAAGGAAGTAGAAGTGATTTTGCGACTAAATTTAGTGAATGAATGCCAGTGATGAACTTCCCGGATGATTCTGCATTTTAAAGACAAAGTTATTATATTTAAATTTTAAAAGTTGTTATAGAAACCTGTTACGCTGCATGGTATGTATAATGCTTTTTATGTACTAATATTTTTCCTTTATCCTTTTATTTTTTTCTTTTTGCTATTCTGAAAAGAAAAAGTTTTACATCAAGAAAGATAATAAATATGGTTAAAAAAATCTACTGGGTTGAAAGTGTGTTATACTTATAAGTTAGAAATAACCATGTGTATTTTATTGAGCTATCTTTGAGTTATTTTTATATTAAATGACTATCTAAAAGTAAATAAAAATTGTATGGTGATATGAATATACTGGCTGTGTGTGTGTGTGTGTGTGTGTGTGTGTGTGTGTGTGTGTGGTGTGACACACAGAGAGAGAGATTGCCAACCCCAAACCTCAAATTTAATAGGACCAAAGCAAGACTTGGGCTGCTTGGACTGTAACACCTTTCAATAAAACTTTGAAATCATTCTGGTAGAAAAATAAAATGTTCAATATCACACCTAGATATAGGATAGCAGGTGAATGGAGTTAAAATATATTGACTAAGACACTGACACTATAAAGATCTTAGACACACTACTCATATCATGCAACTGTGTTTTATATAAATATACATTTTAAATTATATTACTGTATTATGTGATCCTGCTTAGAACTCAAGTGTAAAATATAATCACTATGCAGATGGAAACATGCGTTTATAACCAACCACTTGCATCATTACTAAAATAAATTATGATGATCAATTTTAGAATATAGCTCGAGTGAATATTTTTGCCATTACCAGGAGGTAGAACAGCTTGATTTTCTCTCTGAAAATAAAGAATGGATTAAACATTCCAAGAAATACTAGACTTGCCAGAAAATGTTTGACAATGCTTTGTAAAGTATTACAGTTTTAATTTATTTACGCTTTTCCCTTAGAAATGTAAATTTTCTGCATGGGCACAAACATACTACTTGCTTAATTATTTCTTACATATAAGTTATATTGTATGGAGTATTTCTTTGAATATATTATAAAATTATAGAAGATATTTTAGTAGAACATGTATCAGTGCTCTCATACATCTTTACAATATTGAATGAATCTGTTCCCATAGTAAAAACTGGTTTACCCAGTGACCTTCTGAAATAACAACCTGTATGCTTCTTTATTATATGTACAAGTTTCCCTTGCAACCTCATAGACAACCTTCTTACTAAAAGGCATAGTGTCTAGATAAGGAGATGCTTTGTTTTAAATAATATACATTGTTTTTGAGGATATTTATGTTATGGTCATCATGATTGGCTCTAGAATTCTCTTCCAGCTGCTCAGAATGAGTTGTATATAGTACACTGGACAGGGATGGGCTCTGAACTTTACAGAGACCTGATTTTATGTGTCAAGAGACCTTGACCTCTCCAAACACATTTCCTTCATCTTGGAAATACAGGGCAGGAGTAGATCATTTATGATTTTTCTTCAAGTCATATTCAATATGTGTAAGATTTGAACTAAAGCATAAAATAACTCAATGGTTGCTTCACTGGCTTTTCTTAATAGTTTTCAAAAGGGAAGTTCTAATTGGGAATTCCATGTGTTTCCAATTAGAGTGCATGAGTGATTGAAAGAGAGGTGTTATGCAGTGAGAATAGATAAACAATTCATTTTTTCACAGTGGTAAAGATAACCTAGATTATTCTAACCAGTGAATAAATATATAATTTTTAAGAGCTGTATTTGCTGTTGGGCCTTAGGAATGAGAGTTCATGTCTTCACTTTTCTGAGTAGCTACTCTTGTGGTGAACTTTCATCTTTTTGATATTTAACTGAAGATATTTGATGTCAGTATGTGTAACCATTTACATTCATATTTCCTTCTTCTTTTTTTCCTCTTTTGAGGGGCCTTTCCAAACCTAACTACAGATGGTTCTATTTAGAAAAATTTTGATGTTTTATGCTGATTTCTAAAACAAATCTTTAAAGTCATCTATTGTGGGAGACTTACCAAATTGGAACCTGTTATTTCTTATATCTAATAAGAGACAAAAGTTTGTGTCCTCATTAGTTTCCATCAAGAAAATAAAGAAGAGACACTATGCTGATTTTTAGATTGCCAAACTATGAAAACCTGTCCTGTTGCTGTAACTAAAAGCTGTAGTTGTGGTTGCTGTGTTTCATTCTCTGTGAGACTCCATGGCACCTGGACAAGTTGGCTAAAAACACTTAAACAGGATTTGACCGATTTGTAGTGTTAAAAATATCTAATTATAATAAGGTTTTTAAAAAGAGTTGAAATGCTCTTTGAGATTTTAGCTTTTCTAAAGAGTAATTTATGATAAGCTTTGGCCAAGTTGTTCTTTTGAGAGAGCTCAAAGAAAATAACTTGTTTTTATTTTCGAAGACAACTTCATGAATCACTAATAATACAATTGAGCATTCAGTTGCCCAAATGAGAATAGTCAAATATACTCGCTTTATAAAATATATTATTTTAGAGTAATTTCATTAATATACTTTGTGGAGATGGTAGTGAATGGTTTTTCTTTAAGCGTTATGTTTTTTGCTTAATTTTCTAATAAAACTTTGATGCAAACTAAGTGATGATGTTCCATGATAATGAAGTATTCAAAGAAGGACTGAGGATGAGAGGCAAAATGACTTTGAAGGTAAAATGCAAATGCTAGAATTGGTAAGTCCCCTGTGTATAGCGTTTTTTAGGTTTACTCTTCTCCCATTTAATTCCATTGTGTACTATGAGATACACTTTTGGCTAAGCAACAAAAGGAAATGTTTGACTTTTCATTTACACATTAAGTAGACTAATCTAATATTTCATATTTATGTAAAGGTGATTAATATTTATCTGAGAAAATAATTAAGGTGGGGTTCCAAAGGAGTAGAGACAGGGAAGGGTAGAAAACTGAAAGAAAAACAAAAAAAGGCCTTTAAGATATCAAAATATGATAAATGACTTCCCTGGGGGAAGGGGAAGGGGAAGGGTGGGCATAAATTGAGTGTACAGGCTTCAGGAGAATAATTCACATTATGTACCTCCTGAGAATCCTGGACTTGGCCATTAGGTGTAAATTCTAGTTTCAGCTCCATTTCCCACTAGAGCAATTTCAGGCAAATCTTTGAGGCAGAGAGTCCTCATCTGTGAAAAGTGGAAATGGCATCTACCTTTCTAGCTTGTTTCAAGACTAAGAGACAAATGCATACAAAGTGTGTAGCACTCAAAATTTTAACCAAGAAAACGTAACAGATAGTACTGAATTCACAGTGATTCTAGTAGTAGTATTATCTGTCCTAGTTAAAGCCTTTTTAAGTACACTAAAATTCTTGAATCCTTGTGTACTACTAAATATCTTTTGGATTTGAGAGAGATCATTCTTTCACTCAATAATATTTGTTGAAGGCCTGCTATGTGCTATACACAAAGCAACATGCTGGGTTTACAGTGGTGATAGACATGAGTACTATCTCTATGATACACTCACTGCAAGATGTAGATTTATGTCATTAATCAAAGGAACGTATCTTGTAGTCCAAAAAACAAAAGAATGAAAGATGCCTTTAGAATTTCAAAGATAAACAGATGAATCTAAATTTTTAAGGGTGAAGGCTGATAGAACAGATCACTATCAAGAAAAGAGAATTAGAGAGCCATGAGATTTCTTATCAGGAATACCAGAAGACTGAGGGAATTGTCTCCAAAATTCTAAAGATAAATGTTCAGCCTAGAAGGTTATACTTGACCAAATTACCAACCAAGTGTGAGGACAGAATAAAGCCTAGATACTGTTAGCCTCCCCATTTTACAGGTGGGAAAATTGAGCACAATGATTTTTTAGGAAGTTGGTAAAGATCTTGCTAATAAGTGCTGAACACAAGACTCAAATCCCTTGGTCCCTTGGTTCTGTGTGCAGTCAGCTTGCTTACCTGCCACATCTCCCACATTACAAATGCCATATAAGTCAAAGCAACTAACGTGACTGTGGTGGAAGGAGGGCAGCAGAGCAGGAAGTCAGCAGAAAGGAGAGGAGAGAGAATGCAAGAGATAGAAGCACAGTAAGTATAAAATCCACTGTGAATCTTCACAAATATTATGTGCAGAGCTAGATTAATTATTTCAGGGAAAACTTTTAACAAACTAGGGCACCTGATCTAGAAAAAACATGATAGGATAAAGAGTTAAAGGCAAGAATTTGGAATTTAGGTAAGTTTTGTTGGGGAATCATGTCTCAGTGACTAAGCTGTTGATTCTCTCAGTAAACGTTATTTAGTGTTAGCATCCATTCAACATTCACTCAGTGCCTACCATGCATTAATCAGAGTTCTGGGAACTGGAAATACAGTGGCAAGCAAGACATAATCTTTGCCCTAATAGTCTTTGTGTAATATATATAGGACATCAATAGGACAATATATCTGCCATTTGCACAGGACAAAGAAGACAGAATCCCTGCCCCCAGTGAACTTAAGCTTTGGTAGTTCATGTTGAGCTGGTTTATTAATACAAATAAGTAATGACAATAAAATGCGGTAATTGCTACTCAAAGTTCTAGATGAGCTATAGTGGGGACGCTAAGGAGGCTGGCATCAGTTGCAACTCTGGGAAGAGATGGAATGTTTTCATCTCTCATGGGCAAAATTT